CTCCATTCTCCTCTCGGGATCTTGGGCACGCACGCACACGCGCCCGGCGTGAGTTTAAGCCACCGGGTCCGGGACATGAACCGCGGTCGACTACGTGGGAGTCCAGCGACATAGCCATTACGACAACTGCTAGTCCCGCCATGCACGCTTTACTATGGAATCCCCAAAACTCTGTGGGTGCACCCCAGACCTGTGGAGCAGTGAACTTCCCATAGCTCAAAGTATTCAAGCACAGCGGGGACTTTGAAAACTGAAACTGCTGTGTGGCCTTGGGGAAGTGACAAGCTGTCTCTGAGCCTCAGTTTCCCCACCTGCCAACAGCAGGCACTGACAGCCCGGGTCGAGGAGACGTTCCACAAATAGGGAGGGCCAGAGAGCTTATGAGAGGTCTCCCTAACCCCACCCCCAAATGCCACCCGCGTGACCTGTCTGGGCCTGTCTGTCCCAGTCCAGAACAGAAAGGGTGCTGGCGGGGGCGCCCCCTCCAAGCCTGGGGGCGGAGTCCCGCTGACCCGGGGAACCTCATAAATTCGCAACCCACAATCACGAGCTGCCCCTTTAAGACCCACTGCGACCTCCAGCTGCCGGCCTGGGAGGGGACCCAGCGGGACAGGCGAGGAGGCAGGCAGACAAACAGACAGACGGCAGGGCCAGACGCAGGACGAAAAGAAGCGACAGGGAGCTCAAGAACCCACAGATCCAGCCCCAGGCTAAAGGGGGCGCCCGTGAGCATCCTCCCTCCAACGCGCCGCCTCCACCCCCTGCTCGCTTCCCCGGCTTGGGCACGCGGGGTGGCTGGGGAGGGTCCCGGACGCCCTTCCCATCTGCACCCATGGATGGGGTCGAGCCAGGGGCGCGGGCCACCTTCGGAGCCTGGGACTACGCGGTCTTCGCGCTCATGCTCCTGGTGTCCACCGGCATCGGATTGTGGGTCGGGCTGGCCCGGGGCGGGCAGCGCAGCGCGGAGGATTTCTTCACCGGGGGCCGGCGCTTGGGGGCGCTGCCGGTCGGGCTCTCGCTGGCCGCCAGCTTCATGTCGGCGGGGCCGGGGCTCAGGTCGGCGGTGCAGGTGCTCGGGGTGCCGGCCGAGGCCTACCGCTATGGCCTGAAATTCCTCTGGATGTGCCTGGGACAGCTCCTCAACTCCTTGCTCACCGCCATCCTCTTCCTGCCGGTCTTCTACCGCCTGGGTCTCACCAGCACCTACCAGGTATGGGCGGAGGTCAGGAGCTGCCTGTCCGGGAATGCAGGGACCCAGGGGGGTCAGCCTCTGGAGGCTTTGAGCTGCAGGTGTGCAGGAGAAAAGAGGCCGGCGCTTTGCTGTTTTCATGGGGGCCCCCCCAGGCAGACAGGTGAAGAGGGTTCTGGGAAGAGGCCCCAGGCGTTGGGGCTAGGGGGAAGGAACGAGGAAGACAGGAACCGGCGTCCAGGTTCTTGGGTGCAAACGCGTGCAGGACGGGGGCGGGGTCCGGTGTGTACTTACGTGTGGACAGGCTTGCACCTACCCCCCCCACATGCCCAGGGTACGTACCCCCATCTCTGCACACCTAAAAGCAATTGCTGCTGGCTCGTGGTTCTAAACTGGGTTCTCTAGGGCTAGAGACTTGTCTCTGCTCGGATTTCAGAGCGGTTGAACTCGGCTAGTTCCTGGACCTCCGTCCCGTGCAGAATAAAGCGATTAAAATCTTGACCCGGGGTCAGCCGGGGGCGGTGGTTGAGGTGACTGGATTGCACATGAGTACACAGCGCGGTTAGAGTCCCGGACCAGAGGCTCGAATAACACGCTCGGAGCCTGTGCGTTCCCCAAATCCGGAAAGGAGGGAGAAATGGAGAAGGAATTGCAGCTGTGACCATCCTCTACGGGCGATGCTTTGTCACTTTCTCTCTCTGTCTCCCTCCGGCGAGTGCACGTGCCCTCTGGCCCCAAAATTTTTAAAAATAAATTCTCACTGTGTACAGGAGGCGGCCAATACCGCCGGCCACCAGCTTGTCTATACTGAGCCCTTGCGGGCA